GTCTCACACGGCTCCGGGGGGTGAACAAAGGACTCCTGTAGCGAATCAATGCGTTTTTGTAAGAAAAATATCCATATTCAAAACGTAATAATCACTTTAATCTAGCTTGCACTCACTGTTGCAAACGGAAGCAGTTCGGGCGGATGACGTATGAGGTCAGCTTTTCGCATGCGCCCCTCAGAAGTGATATGTTTGGAATATGGATTTTTTTTTACAAAAATGCATCAATTCGCTACAGGAGGCCTTTCTTCACCCCCCGGAGCCGTGTGAGACACTTTTTTATGGATGGGCGCTTTTTATTTAACTACTTTTGGCCTGATACATGCAACACCCGCTGAGTGGCATTAAACAGCTTGAAAGATCAAAGACAATTTTTAATATAACTCCGACTGGATTTGTCTGAAAGAAGAAAGTCATATACACCTAGGATGACTTGAGTGTGAGTAATTTATCGGCTAATTTTCATTTTTGGGTGAACTAACCCTTTAATATGTGGGTCATTGAAACTGCTTTCAAATGCACGATCGCTTTTTACTTTCACTTTCGAGAATTGCTCAAACGTGCAATTCGAGCAACGCACGTGCTCTGTGTAAACTACAGCGGCAGTACTTACCACACATTTTACAAGACCAGATGCTTGTCAGTGGTGCTCAGGATCTGTGAATCATTCGCCATCATACTCAGTCCTCTCTTTACTCTGTTTATGTGGTAAGTGAAATCTTATGTATTCTAATGTAACAGGCTACCGCTAGCATGCTGCTAACCATGTCCCTTAAGTGGCTCGCGTTATTTTATTAGAACGCACGTTATTATTTTTCCGTGCCTTTCTGAATACAGACACCAACCCATCCCTGCACATCACATCCCCTGCACAGCCTGGAACATAACATTTATTTCCATGATCTGCCATTTTCGCTATTATCCTCGCTTGTTTCTTCACAATACCTGTAGAACTTCTGATGATTCAACTGTGCAGGTTCGGCTGGCATAGAACATGGGTCGGTATATGCAAATTTTGGGGGCGTAACTATTAGTGATCCTGACTGTAACATCACAGTCGGTGTTATGTTCTGATTCGCCTATTTTTCAGTGGTCTTTTGCATGCACAAGATTTACATAAGAAGGAGGAAACAATGGTGTTTGAGGCTATGCCAAGGTAAATACTATGCCAAGGTAAATACAGTTCCCCTTCAGGAACTCAAAGTGAGTCGAAACGCTATGGGAACACCTCCAGTGTGACCACGCTCTGAATCACATGTGTAATCAGTCCAATGGATAGGCGAGACGTCACGAGCGGGGTGGTGTAGCGACCAGGAAACATAAAAGCATGTGCGGTGAAACCGGAAATGAAAGCTTTCTGTCATTCAGCAAGCGCTCTGTGTGTGTCAGTCTTATTTGGTGTTGTCTGTCCATTATCACTCTTTATTTTACCAATACGAGTGTAGACAACGTACGGCGAGAGCGGGCAGCATCTCAGGCTGTGTGTTCTTCCCTGTCCGCGCTACATTTCGGGTGGGGATACACACATTTTGTGTGTTGTCTGCTTGGGAGCAAAACACGCAGAGTCAGCTCTCGAGGGAGTTTTGTGTTTTGAATTGTGCTTCTCCCCGCTGCACCATCCGCTCCCGCCGGGCACGCTCCGAGGAGTGTCTCTGTGCTTGCGAGCCTGCGGTTCGGTCCCGATATTGCTGAGGCATGGTGGCAATTCAGATTGCAGGGATCGCACGTGGATCTAGCGGATGGGTTGGAGATGGCTCGCCCTTTCTCCGCCTGCACTCCCTAGATCCAGCGCTCTCTCTCGAGGTTCGGAAGCCCACGTTGCGGTCTCTTCCCCATTTTGAGTGAGAGCTCGCTGCTGCAACTATCTTTCGCCAAGGAGATTGAGATTGTTGCTATGAGACGTTTTCTTCTCGAGGGAAGAAAAGGCTTGAGTGTAAAATCAGTGCACATTGCCAAGGCAACCTCCCTCACTCTCTGTACAATGAGCGCTTGGGATGAATTCTCGAGTAGGGAGCACAGTGCTCTCTCTTCCTCCGAGGAGGTTGAGGTGGCAGCAGGCCAACCGTGTTCCAGCTGCTTATTCAGGGAGCGTCACATCTCGACTCCCTAAGATGGAGTCTTAGTTGCGCTCCCGGGCCGAAGGCTTCTCGCAGGGGGCGGGTCTGCGGACCGTCATTCTCGCTGGATAGTCTTCGGCCAGAATGTCTTGACGCTATTACCCAGGATGTCCGAGGGCCGGCCCCTCTGGGGAAGAGCGGTGTACGCCGCATTACACAGTGCCCGTATCTCCTCAGTGCCCTCAGGAGATCGATCTGCCAACCCTGCCGGTGCTACAGGGCGCAGCGGTCTCCGGCGAGCACTTCTCTGTCACCGACCGGAAACGTAGCGGTATTAAGAGGCTCGCTACCTATACGGAGGCCTCTAGAGCAGCTAGTTCAGCCATCCCCTGCCGGTGCGCTGCTTCAGGGCACCGAGCTAGCCGCTCTGATTACACCAGAGGCCAGTCTCGAGAGACTGGTTCCCTTTGTAGTCACCTGGCGGTGTGGGAGCCCCGGCCAAGCATGTCTCGTGGGTCCTGCCGAGCAGGTTCTGGTTCTACCAGTCTAGTCTTCCTGGGAGATGACACGGGTCTGAGGACCGTCATTTCAATAGAAGGCTTCAGCAAAGGAAGTCCGGATGCTTATGGCTTAGGACTTTGCGGGGGCAGGCCCCTCTGGGGAAGAGCAGTGCACACCGTATTACACCCCATTAAACGGCCAAGAAAAGTGTGCTTTCTACAGTACAGAGAACCACTTATCTGTGCATGGTGTGGGATTCGAAAGCTGAAAGCCTTGGAGGCCGCCATACTCCTGGTCGAGTGCGCTGATTGGCTTTAGCAATGGCCCAGTAAATGGATGTTTTTCCCGACAACAAAGACAATAAACAACAGCACTTAGTGAGCTCTCAAACTCTTAATTACCTATTAAGCACAGTCAGCTTGTCCATCTTCTTTCTGTGTCTCCTGAAGGGCCTTCTTGCTTGGAGAAGCCTCCAGTAGTACAAACACACTGAGCTGCATAAAGGGAGTGGTCCCAGCACAGAGCCTTGCAGAACCCCAGTACATCAGTGCAGATAAAAAGTTGTAATGTGGGCAGGTACAAGTTGTTTTGCCACCATGTGTCACATGACCAAATCATCTATTAGATTCATTCAATTCATTCAAGCTTTTCATTTTTCCAATCTAGCTTGAATCCTCTAAACCTCCTACATACTAGCTCCTTGCTTTTGTTCATGATTAGAATGGCATTAAAATGTACTTAATGTAAAAAAAATTTGTCATCACAAACCGTCATGCCATTCCCCATATTATCTTCTTTTGTCTGTTAACCACTAAAGGAGATACTAGTTGAAAGAAACAAAATAAAAATTAATTAAAAAAAATAATTTAAATTCCAAATAAAGTACCATAAAAGTTGTCCATATGACCTGTGAGCTATATTTGACTGGCAGGGCCTGAATGTAAATAAGAAAATAATTCTTAATTGACTTGGCTGGCTAAATTAAATGTGAACAACAATTTAAAATCTTCTGAAGACATACGATCGCTTTGTGTTATGGACAGAGCAAAAGACCAACAAAAAAAAGCCTAATAAACCAAACAGAAACTTCTTGCATCTGCACCAACAGGTGTCAGTAGACAGTACAGTCCAATATCATTTAATTTGTATATTTTGTATGTGTATGCTGTTCTTTATAGTCAAGTACAACAGTCTAAAATGTCCATCTGTCCATTTCCATATCCACTTCCAGTGAAGTGATGTTTTGCAAACTTGTTCCCTGTGCCATTTTCAGTGTCCTTCTGGCAGACCATATACACTCTCTGTGAATTAGAATCTCACTTAAGATACCCAAAAACCCTGTTTGTTCTTGTTTACAAGGAAAATACCTGCAGTGATCAAGGCTGGCATTGTTTTTTTTAATGCAATTATTATTTTACCCCTCTTTTAATGGCAGCTTTGTACAATATAACCTAGCTAACTCTTAGTTGGAACATACCCATACAGTTTATTTGGCCAGTATAGCTATGGTCTCTTTAGAACTAGGAACAATGGACAACCATGTGAACCATGTAGAATCGTGACAAGGAATGACCTGTTATAATGCTTTAAGTGGACATGCAAGATCCTGATATATTCACACTGAGTGGATGTTGTTTTTTTGTGAATGAATGTGAGGGGAAGAAACTAATCTTGATCACTCTGTTGCAGGTCTGACGGATGAGAAAGTGAAGGCTTATCTCTCCCTTCACCCACAGATGCTGGATGAGTTCGTGCTGGAGAGTGTGAGTGTGGAGACCGTAGACAGATGGCTGAAACGGAAAAACAGCAACCAGCCTGCAGGTATGGACTCATGGCCATGTGCTCCAATATTCTTCAATAAGAGCCCTGTGCTCTAAAAAATAGTGCTGCGATTACTTACTGTGACGATGTCTTTGATTTTGAGGATTCATTTTTTTTTTTTTGACATTATTTTATTTTTAACAAGTGTAAAATATTTTGACTGCATTTTGTTTCTATGTTTATTTGCTGGTAAATGTACTGTATGCTTCTGGAAAAAATTTTTTTAACAGTGTTTCTCAAATGATGGGTCCCTGGTTTGGTCCTAAAAATTTTTTTAAAATGCAACAATTAGTTGAGATAAAATGCAGCTAGCCATATAATCATAAATATCCAAATAAATTGGTTTAAAATAATATGGTTTAAATTGGATATTCAGGAGACTTCCCATATCATTTTTGCTAATGTCAAAGGTTGTGTTTCCACTCAAACTATGGTGTTTTTGCACAAATTCTGTGCCTTGGTAATATGACTAGTACTATTATAATATCTATTATAATAAGCTGTGTTTGCTCTATCTATGAGGATGGGCCTCAGCAATGTATGTTAGTTTTAATATATTATAAATTTTACATTTAAAGGGCTTTTTTTTCCTTTTATAAAATGAACTTTTTCTACTGTTTTGTATCAACACTTGATTAAAATGAAAAAATAACTATACAGACATTTAAAAAAACAAAAATTACAGAACACAAATACTATAAATATACTATAAATTTTAATACTTTAAAGATTAAGAAAATATAATTCTTTAATACTGCATATTTCTATTTGGATGCTGGTTGTGCATGTCAGAAATTTTGTACATTTTGTATGCTTGTTCATTATTACAAATAGTCTTACACATTTGAGGCAAAACGTATTAATTATTCAGTTTTAATATCTTAATCATATATATTTTCCATATGGACAGGAATCTATATGGTACAGTAAAGTTTTTTTTCTTTCTTTTTTTTTCTCAGTACCCTACAACAAATAATTTTCTTTTTGTTCTTCCATATGTTCCATTTTGATTTAGATTATTGGTTGGTGTACCATTCATGATAACATGTGTTTGAGCCAACAAAACTGCATCAATACACTTGACGTGCACACCTCTCCTGTGCATGTGTCTGTGTGTATGTAACCTGAGCAGCAAAGACTGCAGAAGACTGTAGTGCACTGGTGAAAGTATGGGAGAGGGGGCCTGCTGGGTCCTTATGGGTCATTAGGGCTATTTAAGCGGGACTCGCTTCTCTGTGCACAGCATGCTTCATGTTGCGGCCCGCTCCACTCGACCCATCACATCCATCAAGGGCCCACATGGGTTGGCGGCCAGCCTAGCTCAGCTACTGACGTCAGAGCCAACCTCCAGGGGCATGCAGTCGGTCGGGAGGGGGACTGGAGGAGGGTGAATGTGTCGCATTTTGGGAATGTTTTCTTGCACGAGTGCAGCAGAGCTCAGGCTGCCGGCTGATGGTTAACCTCGGCTCTGCTCGGCAGGCTGGGCAGCAGTATTTTTCTCATGCACCGTTTCAACATCAAACTCTCTACAAACCATGTGTGCCAGATTTTGTCTTGGCCTGTGATGCATATCAAGCAGTGCTTTGAATTAGCATGCATGTTAGCTTGTTAGCTTTCAAATTCTTTGTACATGTCAACGCTCTAAGGTTTTTTTTTTTGTTGGTTTGTTTTTTGTTTTTCCCCACTGACCATCGATTAAAGCATATGGTCCAGAATGTGGGATCAATCAACCAAGACACGTTACATTTCATATCTGTTCATCCTGTTAACACTGATCATCTTCTAAAATACATTTTTTTATTTTTATTTTTTTATTCAGCTGTACAACCCAGTGGTATAGAAAAACTCCCTGAATTTTGACAACGAATGTACAGTTCGATACTGTTATCTCAGTGTTTATGTAATTGTTTAGTTTTTTTAACCCACCAAAAATCTGTCCTAGATGGAATTTTCATATTGATTTATTTATATATATATATATATATATATATATATATATATATATATATATATATATATAGAAGCATTTTCAAATTAGGTATTGAGGGTGTAGATTCTGTGTGGGCCTGGTCATTAGTACGCAATAAACTCTCTGAACAACTTCCACAATAACAATGAGCTTCAGGCCCTCCCTGTGAGAGATGAAAACCTCTGCTGTCCTCTGTCATGTATTTCACTGTGTATGCACAGTGCTCACTTACCACATCATACTAAGGACTAATGAGGTTTGGAGCTTAATTGTCTTTGGTTCTTATAGAACTTATGTACCAGAGAAACAAGTGCACAGCCATCTATAGAATTTTGTTTTTGAACGATGAGTAATTAGTTGGTGAAATGGAATTACTTATTGTAGAGTTAACGAAAATTATTATGAGCATTGTAATGTTCGAAGCGAATGTCATAATAGTTGTCAGTAGACCGGGAAGATTTTAAAAGATTTTAAAGAGTGGTTCATTCATAAATTCGTAAGATCATACAGTGGAAAGACAAACCGGAAGACAGAAGACTACGAGCGCTGCGCTGAAAAGGGCCAGAGCTACATAAGGTGTGTATGAGTCTGTGAGCAGCTACAGCCCATTGAACAGTCAAGTAAGTTATAGTAGTACATATAGTATCTGAGAATGTAAAATAATCAGGATTATTTTTTTTCCAATTTTAAAAATTAAACATGCTCTGCAGAAGCAGACAAAGAGGGCTTGAATGGCAGTGCTGGTAAATGATGACAGATTTTTCAAATGACCACATTCAGGAGATTCAGAGAATAAGAGACTAGCAGGTTAATCACAAGGCTCTAATTGAGAGAAGCAAAAGGAACGCTTTCAAAGAATTCCAAGTAAAATCTGAACATCTTTTATTTGATAGGTCACAAGTGTACTTGTGAGATCACTGATTAGTTTAATAATAGGTTGTCCTAATCTGGTGTACTTCTCACTGTCTTGAGCTGTGGAGATACCCGGACATCATATGATTCCACTGTTGTAGTGAATGTGAGAGCCTCATTACAGGCCTAACAGCAGGGCCAGTGGCTTCAGTCCATGTGATGCGATGTTCTTCGTATCTTTCTGTTCCAACTTTTGCAAATACAGTGACCTGTAATACCTCTAGCATTTCAGGCGTTTTGCAATTAATGAAGATTCTACAGTCAAAGTACCATCCGTCTTTTTGTGTTTGAGCAGTGTCTCACACGTCATAAATAAATAAATAAATATATATATATATATATATATATATATGTGGTGTTCCGTCCATATAAACTGTGAATGCTCCGCATACCCAGGCCATTTGAGAGAATAAGTTCACGGGATAATTCATATAAACATGATTATAAGTTGATTCCTTGCTATTTGAAATGTAACTTAAAGCTTAAAGAGTTAGGAATAAGTACGTACAATGATTTATTTGCCATACTGCAGTAGTTTTCTTTAAATCTACCAGTTGCAGTTGCTTCTGGGCAAGCGGATTCTCCGTAGCTTTCTCGTCTCCTCTCTGTTGCTATGACTATGGTCTGCGGCTGATTTAATGCACAAGGTAAGCTGTCCGCAAAGCGCTCGCCGAAGCGGAAAAATGTGCTGTTGCTGTCAGATCTCGATTGCCGAAAATTACATTGTGTTTGATGCAAAACCAACTCGACTAAATCAAAAGGAAAAAAAAACAAACAAAAAAACACTGTAACTGTATATTTTTGTTTTCTCAAGCAAAGCAAATTTTAAAAGTCCACTGAAAACATATCTTCTTACATTTTTGGCCGTAGACAAACAACGTATGTTGCAGATATGCGTTATTGTCAACGTTATTGCCTAAGCGGTAAATCATTTTATTTTTTTTAATAAAAATGTGGGCTATATAAAACTTTAATAATAACAAACATTATAATGGTCCCTCTTTTTTAAGTCCTTCTCTGATTTTATTATTGTTTGCAAGGTTGCAGTGTTACTTTGCAATATTTTTGGGCATTTTGCATGGTCTGTTATTGGAGTAGTGTCACCCGGGTGGGAGTTTTAACTCCTATTCACTGGGAATAAAAAATTATAATTTAGCTGATGAGGGGGACATATAGAGCAGGGGAATCCCTCCATCTCCCCACCCTCTGTTTACGTAACGTAACTACGTGTAAATGTTATTTGGCGGATTTTAGCTGGAAAACCAGATATATTTTTCTTGCATTCGAGTAATGGATAAACTTGAAACGATTGAAGAAGGATTTGAGATGAATTTCATTTACAAAGAAGGTAGGAAATGTGCATACTTTTAAATCAACACCTGCCACAGTGTTTCTTAGCTATTTGCCATCTGTGATCTATTTTGCGTGTCCTTAAAGCCGATTGGGGGAGGGGGGGGGTGGTCTTATCAGTCAGCATACCCGGTTAAAAAAGTCACCGCTCGCCACTGACATATATATACAGTATATACTGTAAATATATGCTGTATATGTATTAATATATATATATATATATATATATATATATATATATATATATATATATATATATATATATACACACACAGTGGGTATAGAAAAGAATCACCCCCTTTCACACCCCATTTTGTTACTTATCAGCCTGAAATGAAGATGGACACAGTTTTTGTTTTATCCAGCTGTATTTACTCAGTGCAACTTATAACATCCAAGTGAAAGAAAAAACATATTTTGTTGAACCACCTTTTGCTTTAATTACAGCCTTTAGTCTGTTGGAATATGTCTCTACTAACTTTGCAATATTTGCCCACTCTTCTGTGCAGAACTGCTCAAGTTCAGTTCAATTTGATGGTGAGTGTTTGTGGACTGCAGTCTTCAAGTCAGTCCACAGATTTTCAGAGGAGTTTAGGACTAAGCCATGCAAGGACATTCATCTTTTTCTCCTTCAACCACTGTGTGCTCAGTTCTGGTAAACCTTCTTCCCATTGACAATTTCTGGCAGAGGGCAGCCAGTTTTCCTCAAGAATGTGACTGTATTTTGCCCCATCCATCTTTCCTTCTATCCTGTGAAATGCTCCAGTCCCTGCTGCAGAGAAACACCCCCAGAACAGGATATCACCACCTCCATGC